AATTTGTATCGTAGCCATGCTAAATAGCTGTAAGAGGTTAAAAATAACTTGTCTTAAACGTTATAATACCTCAATTTTATAGCACTTTCAATAATTCTCTTAGAACGCTATGTTTTTTTACGATTTTTAATAGCGTTCGATGTTCTAGTGCTCCACAAAACGCTATTGCTAGTGACTAATAGTGTTTTTGGTCAGCTACTAATGTTGATATTTCTTGTAGTGAGTACTACTCAAAGACCCCAAAAGATCAAGATTCATATTGTTTAAGCGCGGTACATAATTATAATTACATAAGTACATATAAAGGAGGTAATATTATAAATACATGTTTTTTTCTCCTCCATATATAGAGAGAGATAAAGACCTTTCTAGTAACATTAGCTAATTAATCAACAGCTAGCCAACGTGAGGTACAGTGGAGACAACCCCATGAGTGTTAACCCAAATCCAAACTCTATTGCACCTGTAGTCCTGGATCACCGGAGTGCCTTGCAGTTTCACAATTGCGTCCACGTTTGGATTTTCTTTCTCTATCTTTGCCGCTGCTATCTCCCCACATACTCCTACCAGCTCTGGCCATGATTTCTTTCCTGTGAAGTTATGTAATATGTATGTTGGATATATGCCATATATATATATATATATGTGTGTGTGTGTGTGTAAATATATATCACATATATGAATTAAGTAGATGCAATATATATAATCTAGCTACGATTTCAACTTTCTAAATATGATTTCTAAGAAATTTCAGGGAAAAAGAAATAGAAAGAAGAACTAATTAAAATGGTTTTGGGTTTTGTAAATCGATAGTTTGCTAGCCGGTGAGTACCTGGACACTGATCAGATGCCATCGTTTACTCGCTTCCTCACCTCTAATCTATATGAGTCAGAATATTGATATGTCAGGGTATCTTGATCGCTGGGAATATAATATATACATATATATAGGATGCAAATAAATATATACAGGTGGTTTGCTTCTGAAGTTAGAAGTAGCTTAGTCATACTCATAGCCCTTGTTGCATGACTCGTGTCAATAAATCTCACAAGTTAATAGCAATCTCTCTTCTATTTCTGTCGTTTGCGTTGCTTAATTTGTCTTGGCTTGGGATATCTATTATATATATAGCCATTTTACATGTGTGATAAGCGATAAAGAAGGTGCAAGTTCTGCATTGATGACTCTTCAGAGTTCCGGCAACAAAAGGCAATCTTCACAAAACTTCTCGATTTCACTTTGTTAATTCGTGTATCACTTTAATTTTTTATTTTATTTTTGTTCTGCTATAGGATTGAACTTTCCTGTTCACTCCTAGGTGTTCTTCATAAATAAAAATCACAAACAGAGGTATTTGTTTCCTGCATATTTTGTACACTAATTTTTCTAACTCTTATTTTATCTGTTTCAGGATTTCTTTGAAAGAGCAAATCACGTGTAACTTCTTCCATTCAACGTATGTCGTGTGTATGACGTCAAGCGTGTTGTGATTATGTCAAATTAAAAATCTTAAACAAGATTCACGATTTTCTAATTTTTAGCTATGCACTCTTATTCTCGTTCAAATACCGAATATTGACATGTTGGACGTAGAAACTAAAACGATATATATGTCGTTTGACGGACCAAACTGCATTGATGTTAGTTCAAGAACATATTGTCAGCTCATAATACGACGTTGTTTTTTCTTTTCTTTTCTTTTTTATTTCCAAAATAGCAAACCGATAACGCAGCAAAGAGTTACCCAAGTAAAGCACTTGTAAGCCACAATAACAACACTTTATTGGCATAACACAGCTATATAAAGCACATATACTTATTCCATATATATATATATATATGCCACAATATTAGAATGCTTCCAAAGTCTAAGAAGGTAGCTAATATATAATATTAATTATTAGGGAAGTTGAGTGACGATGCCAGAGTCATTGACCCAAACCCACACCCTGGTACACCTGAAGTCTTCTGGTACAGGAGTCCCTTCGAGTACGACAATCGCATCCACATTGTCATTCTCTTTCTCTATCTGCTTCTCGGCTTCTTTCCCATTTACCCCCACAAGCTCCGGCCAAGAGTTCTTCCCTACACACAAATTTTCCATCATGATCCTTAATTAGTACCAATATCTAATAAATATTGACTACTATTATATTATAAATGTATATATGCTTATATACATATTATATATATATATATATATACATATCCGTATAGTACACAAACAAAAAGATTGATAAATTGGTCTACTAACAAATTTAATTTGCAGGTGTAGATGGGAAGAGTTGGGGACAAAAGTGTGATTAAAGGAAATTGGTTTTGAATTTTGATAATATAGGTGGACATTAATTTGGCCTAATTACCTGGACAAAACGCCATTTTGATCTCTTTGCTTCCCCTAGTGTACTTAAATGGATAATGTTGAGCGAGTTCTTATTTAGATCTTTAGCTAGGTATTTATTTGGCCCTTGTTCTTAATTTTGAGTTTCTGATTTATAGCAGAAATATTTGACCGATTATTACATCGTATTGAATCAACATGAGTTCCGTGTAAACCTCTTTTCTTGAACAACTAGTTGTGTGGCGATAAGTTCCGGGTAAACTTAGGGATGCTGAACCCTACTTAATAGGAATCTATTAATTATTGAGGACTATATTTTTTTATCGGTGCGTTAAGATGGCTAATTCATGCTACTTCTCCATGTGATTTTGATCTTTTCTAGTTCATGATCAGCGGCGGATTTAAGTACAGTTCAGTGGGGGTTACCATCTCTACTCAAATTTTTTTGAAAAAAATATTACCTTTAAAAATTTTAAAATTTTACACTTAAACTCATACTAAAATAAATATATTTTCTTATATGCTCTTATTAAGATAATTTGTTAAAAAAATTTAGTGTACACCCCCACTGAAGTGAAAGGTTGACTCCGCCACTGTTGCCTAATAGGTGCCAACTTAGTTAGAACGTGTCAAATTATCTCTCTACTATCTGTTACATTCGCTCTCCATGCCATTTATTCAGTTGTAAGTTGGCTATAATGGCTGTTGTTGGATTAGCTTCACCTGCTCATATATTTTTAGTTTTTACATACATATACGTATCGTTGACGCGCTGACGTTGAATTGAAAAATGCCACTTGCTATATTCAAATAATTCTTATTCGATCGGAGGAGCAGAGAAATCAGGTTGAGAATTCTTCATGAGTACTTAGCGCTTATCAACTTGCAAAACATGTGGATAAATCATAAACCACGATACGTAAGCTAATTCAACTAATTGAGCAGCGGTCTTTATATATATATATATATATATATATATATATATATAATGTGTGTGTGTGTGTGTGTGTGTAAGCGTGTATAACTTGTAGAAATTATGTGCTGCGAAAGAAAACAAAAGAAAACCCAACAACCTCATTCATGCCTATTATGTTATATATAGAGATGTATATACATACATACATACATATATATATATATATATATGAAGGAAACTGTCCGTGCTGATATGTATTAGGCTCTTCACCATTATTTTTCTCGGCCGCCATCTATACTTATATCATCCCAGTCAAATTGTCAATTATCCTAGGATCGTTAAACAAACAGGCAGTTTAGGCCTCCAAGACTCAAAAGTTAAATTAATTAGTAAACCACAATTATTATTTAGAGTAATAATGTTTAATGTGGAAATTGTTACAATAACCATATGTATATATATAGGCATAAATATAGATAGAGACTAGAGAAGCTTCCAAACGTGAACCTAGCCAACATTACGAACTTGAGTAACTATACATGTACATCGTAAGTTTATATATCATAGTGAGTGTAATCATACTAATATCCAGTGTTGAGTAGTCCTAAGTTCCATTAATCCTCCAGCTATATGGTCGTAAATTTAGCCTAACGGTATAAATAAAATAAAATAAAATAATATTCAAGAGAAGTCTCTTTTTCACTTTCTGCATTCATTATTTGAAACGTGGACTCTACTATCTCATTTTTTATTTAAATAATATATCAAATTAATGGAGTACACATGTCAAATAATAAATATAGAAAGTGACAAATAAGAAAACAGAAGACATCTCTCTCTTTGGTTCTCTTTCCGTACTTGGTTATATTCAAACTTATCAATTGATGTTGGGTACAAGCTGGTGTTGTTTTAGTGATGTGGGTGTAATTTACATAGATTCACTTGGCTTGCTCTTTAAGTTAATTGAACTTCTGAAAAATATCATCTTTTTTATCACTTGATCTCATATAATTAAATGAAGTGCCGTTCCGGGCTTACATTACATGGAGTTATTCCTGCTAATATGGAGATATATTACTCGTTATTTATACTCGATAAGAGTTGAGAATCAGGAAATATTTTGACATTAATTGTGTAGTTGCCCTCTTATTTAAAATCGACCAAATTGGGTGTAATTCTGGATATTAGCTCTATGGAAAGTTATTATAAAGCGCATTAAATTGTATTACGCTTATCACATTCGTTGCTCGATCTAACAATAAAACGCGAATTTCAGTGACCTCTTCATATAAAATAACTCTCTTTAGACCATATTTATGGATAAGTTAAGTTGGAAAAGTAGGGCAAGTTCAATAGTTTTAGGCTATATAAGGATGCAAATCACTTGTCTAATTTTGATATCTAAAACAGTGTCTAATCAATCAAATCATAGATGTCATTTAAAAATTTTCAAATCCAAAAAAAAAAGTAGACTTGTGATCTGAATCCATTACGGACAAAGTCCACGGTATTGACAAAATGCTACTTACATATCTAAATACCAAATCATATTTACACTGAGAATTGAATAAACATAATTGATTGGATCATAAAATCAGTTTGGCTTTTCGTTGTTTCAATAACTCTTTTAGGTTGAAACGGTGGCACAAATTACGAAATAAGAAACATCCCGAATATGCCTTCTTTTCTCTTATATGGTTTTGATCGTCAGTTTCATCACTGAAGTCAATAATCCTCCGGCCTACTGAAGTCAATAACCACTTATTTCTTGATTATACAAAAATATATAGAAAACGAATTGTAGGCAGCATAGTCCAAGAGAGATTAATAATCCATAGGTATAGGCCACAATTTTAACAAGTTATTGATAGTTATAATAAATACATAGGCATCATTTTAAGTCCCGCGATCATACGGTACTGTAAGTGTAATATTTTTCGTATACAGATTGTAATCTTTTGGTGTACATATAGCAAAAACTAGCTAATACATGTATGATAGTTATAGGCAACTTATTGCAATAGAGTATACGATAATATGAAACTTTTCTTTCTTTTTTTTTTTTTTTTTTTCTAGCTAGGTAAAGCTAACCAACACGAGGAACTTCAGTGACGGTGCCATAGTTGTTAACCCAAACCCAGACCCTGTCGCATCTGAAGTCCTTAGTTACCGCAGTCCCTTCGAGTATGACTTTTGCGTCCACATTTTTGTTTTCTTTCTCTATCTGTTTCGCTGCTTCTTCCCCATTTTTCCCCAGAAGCTCCGGCCACGAGCTCTTACCTACAAGAAATATTAATACTAGTTCGCAACCGAGAAAAGCAAGGAAGACCGAAAGGGGAGAATGACGTCCAATGATCTAATATTTCTAGTACTCCTCGTATATGTATGTCATGCATATTACTACGGTTAAAATTGTATTTGTATATCTATATATATATATATATATATATATATTTATGCCCTACGAATTAAGCAGCAAGGGAGGGAGAAAGGGAAAAAAAACAGAAAGAAAATTGTTTCGTGATCATAAGCTATTAATTTCACCAAATTACCTTGACATTCAGACGCCATTTCCTCTTTTGCGTTTTTCGTGGTATGTATGTGCAATATTGATAGTTTGAGTGAGTTCTTGGTTGGAGATAGCCATGTTTATATAGCTTTTAAGGGGCTTTGGTATTTGAGTTTGGACATCTCATGAATTGTAGCCGAAGTCTTTGACTTCTCTAAATTTGAAGAGTTCCATTTATATTTCCTTTATTTACGTGTTATGTTGATTTGGTGTCTCCAATTTAACAAATGCTGAAGGAATGACGTGTGATTAAGTCAACAGCTGGATGTGGAAGGCTGCAGACTCTCACAGCTAGCAAATTAATTAGTACACGTGTAATTCGTCTATTTGGCCTAGTTTGGTATAAATAAGGGATTGGTGATATGTTGTAGTAACTCTGGTTTTCGGAATAGAAAACTTCTCTGTACACGTGAGATTACGGAGAGAGAGAAATTCAAGTTGGGTGAATTTCTGGGTTTGTAATCTGTTTGGGTGTGTGATTGTTTCCTCACATGTTATGTTCAGGCCGACTTATACTGTTCTCATGACACGTTGCACAAGATGAGAATTAAGGTACATATTTAAAGGAGAAATTTTTGACTTTTATACAACTGTTGACTTTAGCCACATAGTGTGGGGTCTAAAGGTAATGGATCATTGTAGTTGGGACTGTGATGAAAAACTTTGGATGTGGTTGTGAATTTTGTTTAGGGTCTTGAAGGCTTGTTTTTTATGAATCAAGTGCTCGATTTACTATGTCTGGAACTACTACTCCAAAAAGCAAAATCCATTTTCAAAGCTTTCGGTGAATGCTTCTATCATTAATAACCTCATTGGTAACGTACGCAAGAAAGATGCTAACGTCGGTCAATTTCTTTGATTAACATAAAAAATTATTAATTATCATACTTAACTCTGGTTTAGCCTGTTAGGTTTCTGTCTAGTTGACATTTTGGCAACTGATTGTTCAAAATTCAAAAATAGGTTCTAGATGGACATGGTGCAGTAGTTTAGCCTGTTAGATTGTGTAGAGCATTTAAATCAAATTTTTATTTAAATAAGTGACTATAGAGGTGTTTAAGAAACCCGATTTAACCGACTCAACCAGCCAAAACTACCCATATTTTAAACCGAATATAACAAAATTGATATTAAAATTGAACCGAAACCAAACTGATGTTTTAGATTCATCAAGTTTGGTTCTAAGCGAACCGAAGAAATTGACTATAAAACTATTAATTTTCATGCTTACCTTTGGTTTAGCCTCTTTGGTTTTTGTCTAGTTGACATTTTGACAACTCGTTGTTCAAAATTCAAAAATAGGTTCTAGATGGACATGGTGTACTATTGCCTTAAGAAGGGCTAGCTATGTTTCAAGAACTCCTACTCCTTGAAAGAACAACTAAAAAAACTCTTCCCATTCAAGCACAACTTGCAGCTACCTATCCCTACAACTACTAAATGCTATGAAAGCCATACAACTGCTATACCTGCAATGAACCTGCTATGAAAACGATACACCTGCTCTACTGACCCTACCATTTGTAGAGAAGAAATAAGTCACAAGTGTAGTGGTTTAGCCTGTTAGATTGTGTAGAGCATTTGAACTAAATTTTTATTTGAATAAGTGACTATAGAGGTGTTTAAGAAAACCGATTTAACCGACTCAACCGGCCAAAACTACCCATATTTTAACCGAACATAACAAAACTGATATTAAAACTGATATTAAAATTGAACCGAAACCTAACTGATGTTTTGCATTCATCGAGTTTGGTTCTAACCGAACCGAAGAAATTGACAGAAAAAACTATTAATTCTCATGCTTACCTTTGGTTTAGCCTGTTAGCTTTTTTTCTAGTTGACATTTTGGCAACTCATTGTTCAAAATTCAAAAATAGGTTCTAGATGGACATGGTGTAGTGGTTTAGCTTGTTAGGTTTTTTTCTAGTTGACATTTTGGCAATTCGTTGTTCAAAATTCAAAAATAGGTTCTAGATGGACATGATGCAGTGGCTTAGCCTGTTAGATTGTGTAGAGCATTTAAACTAAATTTTTATTTGAATAAGTGACTATAGAGGTGTTTAAGAAAACTGATTTAACCGACTCAACCGGCCAAAACTACCCATATTTTAAATTGAACATAACAAAACTAATATTAAAATTAAACCGAAACCTAACTGATGCTTTGGATTCATCAAGTTTGCTTCTAACGAAACTAAAGAAATTGACAGAAAAAACTATTAATTCTCATGCTTACCTTTGGTTTAGCCTGTTAGGTTTTTGTCTAGTTGACATTTTGGCAACTGGTTGTTCAAAATTCAAAAATAGGTTCTAGATGGACATGGTGCAGTGGTTTAGCCTGTTAGATTGTGTAGAGCATTTAAATTAAATTTTTATTTGAATAAGTGACTATAGAGGTGTTTAGAAAAACCGATTTAACCGACTCACCCAGCCAAAACTACCCATATTTTAAACTGAACATAACAAAACTAATATTAAAATTGAACCGAAACCTAACTGATGCTTTGGATTCATCAAGTTTGCTTCTAACCAAACCGAAGAAATTGATAGAAAAAACTATTAATTCTCATGCTTACCTTTGGTTTAGCCTGTTAGGTTTTTTTCTAGTTGACATTTTGGCAACTGGTTGTTCAAAATTCAAAAATAGGTTCTAGATGGACATGGTGTAGTGGTTTAGCCTGTTAGATTGTGTAGAGCATTTAAATCAAATTTTTATTTGAATAAGTGACTATAGAGGTGTTTAAAAAAACCGATTTAACCGACTCAACGGGCCAAAACTACCCATATTTTAAACTGAACATAACAAAATTAATATTAAAATTGAACCGAAACCTAACTGATGCTTTGGATTCATCAAGTTTGCTTCTAGCCGAACCAAAGAAATTGACAGAAAAAATTGTTAATTCTCATGCTTACCTTTGGTTTAGCCTGTTAGCTTTTTTTCTAGTTGACATTTTGGCAACTCATTGTTCAAAATTCAAAAATAGGTTCTAGATGGACATGGTGTAGTGGTTTAGCTTGTTAGGTTTTTTTCTAGTTGACATTTTGGCAATTCGTTGTTCAAAATTCAAAAATAGGTTCTAGATGGACATGGTGCAGTGGTTTAGCCTGTTAGATTATGTAGAGCATTTAAACCAAATTTTTATTTGAATAAGTGACTATAGAGGTGTTCAAGAAAATTGATTTAACTGACTCAACCAGCCAAAACTACCCATATTTTAAACTGAACATAACAAAACTAATATTAAAATTAAACCGAAACCTAACTGATGCTTTGGATTCATCAAGTTTGCTTCTAACGAAACCGAAGAAATTGACAGAAAAAACCATTAATTCTCATGCTTACCTTTGGTTTAGCCTGTTAGCTTTTTGTCTAGTTGACATTTTGGCAATTGGTTGCTCAAAATTCAAAAATAGGTTCTAAGTGGACATGGTGCAGTGGTTTAGCCTGTTAGATTGTGTAGAGCATTTAAATTAAATTTTTATTTGAATAAGTGACTATAGAGGTGTTTAAGAAAACCGATTCAACCGACCCAACCAGCCAAAACTACCCATATTTTAAACCGAATATAAAAAAATTGATATTAAAATTGAACCGAAACCGAACTGATGTTTTGGATTCATCAAGTTTGGTTCTAACCGAACCGAAGAAATTGACAGAAAAAACTATTAATTATCATGCTTACCTTTGAGAAAAAAAATTCTAGAAGATTTTCTGGAGATATTTTTTTGTGGAATTAATTTGAAAGGATATTATGTGAAGATATTATTGAGAGAGAATCATAGAGTTTGAGAAGATTCTTGAGAGGTCTTAATTATCCTATTTAAAGGTCTCATTTGTACTCACTTTGAGGTACGGTCTTAATAGAGAAAAATATTTAGAATATTGTCTATGAGTGTATGAGCATATTAAAGTGTTGATTGTCTTTGGGGAGAAAGATTTGTAGCTTTTGAGAGGAAGCACTCTACCATCGAAGGGAGTTCACCGAGCAAATTTAAGTCGAGTGGTGCTCGCTAAATAAGATCATTGTAGAGATTCGTCACAGCGGTGTCATCATTTAAGAGGGAGTTCTTAAGTGAATAAGTCCGTCCGATATCTGTAATTCTTTAGAATATAGTGATTTATTTGGCCGTGACCCTACATATATAGGTTTACAACCCGAGTTACGATACCATATTATGTATCTTTTTATTCTCTATATTATTTTCCTGCTTGATTAATTATACGTCAAAAACTCCAAAAATTTTATTAAGAGCCCGTTTGGTTTATGGATTATAACCATGAGATTAGAATCATTTTCGATTTACGTGTGTTTTTTATGAGAGAAAATATTATAGCAAACCATGAACCATTATTCGAATCAGAAAACGAATTCTCCAACTAAACACGCTCTAAATTACCAAAAACGGATCTAACATAGTCCTTACCACTGTGATTATTCCTAATTCAATAGCGCATATAAAAGAAAAAATAATAATAATAATGACAAAACCAGTATACTCTCATGTCTCATCTAATGCAAAGCTTATACTCATTAGATGTATCATGTGCGGCTCACGAATAGCGGCAACAAGTGAGACTGATTTGATTGAGCAATCCCATCGCCACATATATGGACGAATCACGATTCTTTTTTTTTTTTTTTTCCAGCATATCATCACTAGAGTTCTTTGTGTAATTAGTTAGCTCGCTTTCCGGCCATCACGCACTCTATTTCGTATAGGGTTGAAAAATTGGCATTAAAAAAAGTTGGTTTTATAAGAAATTGTATCTTAGCATACAAAGAAGTTGGTTTGATAAATAAAAAAGAATAAAAAATAAATTTGATGTATTAATTAGGATCCCTAGCTAATATTATGACTTTGATTTATTTAAAGACGCATCTTAAATTAGAATTTGGAACTATAATACAGATTCGGCACTATCAATCAATACCTTGCCGAAATTTTGCAGAAAGTAAAGTCCTTTAATTAATGTACTTGTGAACAACCAAATTAGAACTCTTCTTATAAATATCTTTCGAAAACAAAAACTCCTATAACTTAACACACCACGTACGCTACAATTTACGGTCTGGAAATTAAAGCAATAGCAGCTAGATATTGAGATTAGAGAAATGTCAAATTGCACAGGCAATTGAACACATAAAAGACATGATTTATGAAAATTGTGCATCAAATTGTTCACATTAACTCGAATGGTTGATCATTTAAGTTTATTAGTTTTAACGTTAAATCACGTTATAGTCGGTCACTTGTGGAGTTTGTGAAACGGAAATAATAGAAAATAGGCAAATATGAAAAGCTTAAGGAAGTATGTAGGCCAACTTTTAGTTATAAAAATTAATAGGCCATAACTTGTTAAGTTATGGTTCATAACCAGATAAGTTATGGACAAACTTGTCAAGTTATGATTCATAGCCAGACAAGTTATGGATAAAAATCGTGAATTATGGATAATAACTTGTCAAGTTATGGTTGATAACCAGACAAATTATGGACGTAAACAGTAATTTAGCCTATTTATTAACTTATGTAAATTATTGGCCTATTAATTTTAATTCATCTCAAGTCTTGGCATATTTTTCTCTTTCTCCCTTTGTGAAAACAGTAAGGTCTAAAGAATATTCAAGATATTTGTCAAAATGATCTTGTGGGCTTTTACGTTCTCCTACCCTATTTTAGTTTATGCCATAAACTCATTAGTTAAGGAGCGAAGAATAATTATTTATAATCGCTAATTTTGAAGTTAAGAGAAAATGAAAATTAACAACTTGGCTGGTCATTAATTTCAATTTCTTTGGTTGTCATGATTTACAAATCATTACATTATATTATTATATAGGAAGCATGAGTTTCATGCACATTATTTTAAGGCATACAATAATAATAATTCATAACAGGACTTTTAGGGTGTGTTTAATTGGGTGGAAAGGAAAGGAATGGAATGGAATATAATGGAATTCAAGTATAATGTTTAGTTGGATTTATAAAAAATGAATGATCATTCAAAAGAAATTGTCATTCACCCATTTTGTGTGAATCATCATTCATTCTTCACATGAAAAGAATAGTCATTCCAAACTCTTTTCTTCTTTTTTTCAATAAATACCTTTGAATATTATAATATAATTACAACATATTATATAATAGTTATATCTTATAATATGTAATATAATATAATATATAATAAAAATAATATAATATAATATAACTTATAATATAGTTATAAATTATAATATATTTATTCAATATTCTATAATAATATATTATATATTATAATGTAATTATATCTTATAATATAATATATAATAATATTACAATATAATATATATAACACAAAATAATAATACGATAATATGATATAATATAATATAATTGTAATATTATAATAAATAATATCATAATTATATTAATAATTCTAATATTATTATTTTATTATATAATATGATATTATATTATATTATATTAATATAATTATAGTATATTATATCAATAATAATATAATAATTAATATAATTTTATAATTCTAATATTATTATCTATTATAGTGTATTACACGTTATGATTACATAATGTATTAATTATAATGTATTTATTTAATGTAATATAATAGTGATTATATATTATATTGTAATTATGTATATTATATTATAGTATAATATTAATATAATATAGTTGTAATTTTTAATTATATTATAATTAAGATATTATTATTTTTTATATAATATTATAATATGTTTAATAATATTATAATAATATTGCCCGTTTTAATAATGTTATTATATTCTATATCATTATTATATAATATATGATATAATAATAATTTTATTGTATTATATTAAATATAACAATAATATACTATATTGTAATTATATATATATTATAGTATAATATAATATAGTTGTAGTTTTTAATTATATTATAATTGAAATATTATTATTTAATATAGAATCTTATAATATATTTTATAATATTATAATCATATCAACCATTTTAATATTATTATTATATTCTATATCATAATTATATAATAATAATTTTATTATATCATATTACATTTTATCTATTATATTAATTATATTGATATATAAAATATTAGTGTTATATGTAATATAAGAATAATTTTGTCAACATGAAAATATTCATATTTTATTTTATAGTGTTTCTGAAATTACAACTAAATAAATGAATCAACGTTCTTTTTCATTTCATTATCAGTACCATTCTCATTCTCATTATCATTATTATTCCCTCACTGCAGACTACGGTGAGCATTAAAATCTGTTTTCTGATGACAAACACGGATGGAACAAATTCTTGAAATTAAGGACATTGTAGCTTAATTTGATTAAGCAGCCTCTTCTTATTATAAAATTTACTGTTGCCTATCCAATTTGAGGGATCTGCTTCACAATTCCACAGCTATCAACCCAAATCCGGACCCGATCGCAGCGGAAATCCATGGTCACCGCCATTCCTCCCTTCACAATGGCTGTGTTAACCTTTGGATTTTCTCTCCTAACTATAGCTGCTGCCACTTCTCCATTTATTCCAACCAGCTCCGGCCATGAGCTCTTCCCAGTATCTAAGAATATTGACAACATCAATATATACACATGCATGAACCAATGACTAACACAATTGTATATATATGGTAATTAAAGATAGCAAAAAGAATTCTCTATGAAGAAAAGAAAAGCAAACTTCTGTGGTAATATTATACGTACCTGTGCAATCCGTCATTCTCTATTGGAAATTACTTAATTCTCTCGTTGGTCGCTTTCTTTTTTCTTTTATAGAGTGCAAGGGAAAATGGAAGGGCGTGCAAGGGGATTTATAGCAGAGTTGTTTGGATGTGTTTAGTTTAGATACCGTCCGAACTCTGAAGTCTGAACACGGTTGTGGATACGCCATGAAAAACCAACTATTATCGTGAGCTGTCTTTGAAATTTTGACCAGCAACAGCAAGGGATAATATTGGAATTTGGAATTTGGAGGGTTTGACTTTCCGCAATGTCTGATTAATATATTAATAAGTAATGGACGTTATTTCTATAATTAAGGGTATTTAGTGTGAAGATTTCTATCATGATTTAAATTATATACATAAATTAAGAATTATTTTTGAATCATAATTCTGAATTAGTAAACCAAACGTTTTATAAAAGTTGCATGATGTGATCATTTTACTGATAGGGGCCAGTTGTGTTTCAAAGGTGGCGCATTGAGATTTTAGCTTGGATAGTCAAACGTATGACCCTGACGTGCTGTTCTAATTCTATACCACACAAAATTGATAATCATTTATAGGACGTTTGATTTGAAGATTCAAATCATGATTTGAATTATAATTTATCGTTTATTACAGTATTTTTTTTTATAAAAAATACATATAAATTAAAAATAATTTTAATCACATAATTTTAATTTATGAACCAATAAAGATGAATAATCAACTAACTTCAACTTTTCTTGTTATAATATTTTTTTTATATAAATTAATTTTTTAACTCAAATTTTTAACTCCAACTAATAAAAAAAAATAAGTACGGAACGGCACCGACACTTTCTATTTATATAATTTTCTTTTTTCTTTTCTTTTCTTATTGAACTTCCTATAGGTGTCACTATTGCCCAGTGGGGTGGGCTAGGGCCGTCGCTAATACTTGGATGCGTTGTTTCAATTGGAGATTTTTTTTTTTCATACTATATATTATTCATAGTTGACCCGACTCTATGAAAGAATAAGCATGTATGCATTATTATTAAATCATGATATAGTTGATTGAAGCATTTGAACTACTCGGATACGCTTGATCTATACTAACAATAAATAAATAAATCAGAAAAGAAAATAAACAGATGTGTACAAAAATGACATACTTTTACTAGCATTTCGGATAAAACAAAATCCAATGCGAAGCACGCATCACGCCACTATCAAGGACTAACCCTCGGGCGTCCAACCAATTATAAAGACAAAACATATAAATATTTGTATCAAGAACAGATCAAGCATATTGTATATACACGTATATGCGTACGTAAGTGAGCGATTAAGTAAAATATGAACGTTTTACCACGTTTGGTGCTTCCTTACGCCATCAAAATAATCTAATATCCGACAGGATTTCACACACTTCCCTTTTTTTCTTCACTCTTGAATAATTTGTTGTTATATTTGATCCATTATCACTATCTATTGCAGTGCCAATCACTCTCACACTTGCTTCTTTATTTGCTGTTTCCAATCACTCTCAACACTTGCATCAAACACAGATGATAATGATCCTCAAACAATACTTTCATTCAACATCCAAAGTTCCAATGCTTTGGTAGGTGTATTTATGGTGAAGAATATTATTTTATTCTACTTATAAAAAGCGTATTTTTACTGTTAAAATAATTTTTTAATGATTCGATACGCATTAAGAACAGTTTTTTACTGCGTGTTATAAATTTTTAATATAAATATATATAAATCCTACCGTTAAAGAATTAATACAACAATTAAAACAGTACTGGTTCTTATTAGCGAAGGAAAATAACATTTTCTACCATAAACATTCCCAATCCTTTATAAATCTACTTCATTAAAATAGCGTTTGGAGAAATGACAGCTCAACCTAATAATCACTCGATCATTCATTAATTAAATACTAACACGTGGGGCCTACAAATTATATACAAATGACAAGTCAACTCCCACAAGTGATGAACTTTCGCATCTTCATAATCATAAACAATTGTTGGTCCTCACCTTGATCGTCACCGGAAACCCACCTTTCATTTTCGAAGTCAAATCCGACACGTACACAGGCTCAACCCCTCCATCCATCGCCGGCACCACCCTGAACCGCCGCATGATGCCGGCGACCACCCTTTTCATCTGGAGAAACGCCATGTCCTTCCCCAAGCAGATCCTCGGCCCCGCCTGGAACACAGGGTAAGTGTACGGATCCCTCCCCACGAACTCCCAATTTCCGGTCGAGGCCTCCACCTTCAGCCACCGTTCCGGGATGAACTCCGTCCAGTCCTTCCCCCACAGCGCCTCTAGCCTCCCCATCGCGTATGGATGGTACGTCACCTTCTCCCCCTTCCTCACCGCCGTCCCCTCCGGCAAAACGTCGTCGTTCGCAGCCTCTTTGCTGTCCGACGGCACCGGCGGGTACAGCCTCATGCTCTCGCACAGCGCCGCGTGCGTGTACACCATGTCCTTCACCTCGTCGTAGACAGATATCTCCTGATCCGATTTCTCTTTGTCTGTGAAGATCTCTTTCAAAACCTCGCGCTCGACGCGCGGGTTCTGGGAGATCAGCCAGAAGAACCACGTAAGCGCGGTAGATGTCGTGTCGCGTCCGGCAAGAATGAAGCTTATGACGATGTCGACAACGAATTTCTCGTCGGAATGGCCTGATCTCAAGAACCGCGAGAGGAGATCCACGGAATCGAGCGACGATTTCTCCGCGAGCTCCTTCTTCTTCTCTCTGACTATGAATTGGGCGACATCGCGAACTTCCTTGATCGCATTCTTGAGCTTCTTCTCCGATCCAATTCCAAGAAGCTTCTTGATTTTCCACACCGGAGGAAACAGCGACATGGATCTGCCGCCGATAATCAACGTCGCAGTGTCAAAAGCGACGGCGAATTTCGAGTCCGGAAGAGAAGGTAAGAGATAAGCAGGATCGTGACCGAAGGCGATCTTGCAGATGTTGTCGAAGGCAAAACGCTGAAGAAGGTTCTGGAAATCGAGGACGACGGAGGAAGACTTCTTCTCAGAGGCGGCGGCGGAGAGGATTGGGATAAGTCGGTCTAAGAGCTCGGAGTCGACGACTGTCTCGACGAACTTGCGAAGCGATTTGGTGTTGAACTCGTGGCTAGCGACCTTCCTCTGGAACTTCCAGCTGTCGCCGTCGGCGCTGAAGATGCCGTCGCCGAGGAAGTCGGAGAGGGGGACTCTGAAGGCGTCGCCTTTGCCGTAGCTGGAGAAGTGAGACTTGAGAATGTGCTGGACGACGGCGGGGTTTCCGGTGAGGATCTGGCGAGGGCCGAGGAGGTGCTTGAGGACGAAGGTGGCGGAGGGCGCGCTCTGGAGGAGCTCGGCGAACCACTGGTTGCGGCGGCGCTTGTTGGCCGATGCGGCCAAGAAGGTGCCAACAATGGGGTAGGACCTTGGAAGCTTGGAAGAGGAAGAAGGCTTTTTCCTGTTTCTGAGAAGGAAAAGGAAGAGGAAGGAGCAGATGAAGAGGACGAGTAAGGCTAATAGTTGAGGAAGCATCATTATCCGAGTAATTCTCAGTTATTAGTTACTCTTACTCCAGTTCTTTCTCACTGTATTCTGCAGTTTCTGTCGATGTATTTGTAGGACTCTTTTGTCTCTCTAGTACCAGTGTTCAGGTTAGGTGGCCCCACGCCCATTGATTGTACGGTGGAACTTTTAATTGCCACGTGGCGGCACGTAATCAACCGTTTCAGCTGTTAGCAAATTATCCAACGCTGGGAATAGACACGTGCACAATCTGTAAAAAAACGTCATCTCATTGGAAGGGAAAAAAAATTAAGGGTGGTTCATTTCGCTGATTCGAGTTTTATTATAGTAAAAAACTCTCATAAATAATCGCTTTTGCTGATTTGAGTTTTATTATAGTAAAAAACTCTCATAAATAATCACATTTAATTTTTTTGTTATAGTAAAAAGCTCTCACATAAAATCACATCTCAACTCGAATTAAAAATTCGAATCAGCGAACTAAACGGACCCTTAAACCAAATCAAACCATTTTAGACTTTTAAGACACCAATGATCTATTCTAATTAGAGTGATAAACATATGAACACTTTCCTTAATCATTCCAATATCCCATACCTAAAATTGAGACATATGCCGGATTTCTTCCACACTGGCGCAATTACGATTCCGTTCATTTCGTCGATTCGAGAAAACAGTCACGTCTAATTTTTTTATTACAGTAAAAAAATTTCACATAAAATCACATATCAACTCAAATTAAAAACTCAAATCAGCGAACTAAACGGCTCTACATTTTTCCAAAACATATATATATATATATTTACATGTTATGTTTATCTACACGTGACGTTACATATCTGAATTTTCTAAGCCTATTCATGTTGTTGAGGCCCAATATTAAATTGGGTTTTTAAAATGGACATTTTATGCAATTACTCAATTTAATATTGGGTCTCAATAACATGAATAGGCTTACAAAATTCAGATATGTAACGTCACGTGTAGAGTAGATAAACATAACATGTAAATATATATATATATATATAGACATATATATAATGTAATATATGTCTAATCTAAGATGACTAGTGTAGTGAGTTTTATAGTTCTATATTTCTGTTTAAGATACTAAAAAAGAAAGTCAACTTCCATGTCTTAGCAAATAATTTCTTTATTCCATTAACTAAAGATATATATTAGAATGCTTATGTTGCTTGTAGCTATAAAAATGTTGCGATATCCTATTTTATAACGCCACACTCAAAATGAAAACAGTGATATATACAATAAGATGTTGGCAAAGCACAGTTGGTCGGTGAAGATTCCGAATCAAGCATATCAAGAACGATATTTGTTTGTTAGTGTAATTTATGACAACGTGATAGCGTCTCCAAGAATCTTGAAATCTTGAATGAAGCTCTACGGAAACTTGTGCAGCCATATAACAATTGCTTCTGGGAGGAAAAAATAGTTGTCATTTGAACATGGGAGCCCGTTTAATAGACTTTATTAATTTAAGTTGTCTAACAACATGTTGAGGAAAATATATATATATATATATATATATCAAAGATAATACTGAAAACAAAGGAATGTAATATTTCTACTATTTCATGCCCCTTTTTGGGAAACCAAAAAAAAAAAATCTTGAGTTACCTGTCTATATTTGTTACAAACATCAAAATCAAGATCTTTTCAAATTTACAGAGGAAGCGGTTTAGCCAAAACTACAAATATATCCACTTTACAACCTCAGCCCAAAGAAAAAAGGGGGAAAAAAAAAAAAAGAACTTGACTCCCATCCACCAGCTGTTCTAACTCGAAAAATCACATACACAGTTCAGAGATATATATATATATATTTTTTTTTTTTTTCCGCTTTCTGAGAACTTTAAAGGGTACCTGTTCTGTTCATGAAAACCTTCTTTTGATTTGTCAAAGTTTGTGAGCCAGCCGAGAGATGATGAACTTGACCCGTATTCCGGTTTCTGCCTCTTGTCTTGGTGTACATCTGAGGAACATTGTACATGAATGAGATGCAGGAGGCTTAGACATCAACTTGATTATCAAGTATGCAAACATAATAAATGCATAAATCCTATAGTTTTATTTTGTCAAACTAAACATGCCTCAAAAAGGAATCTTTGCTGAAACGATTCGTGTCTAAAGCTTACCATGTAGTAGTTGATTCAAACTTAAGGAGTAGCTTGACTTCTAAATCTTATACCAAGTTTCCCCAACTCCTGGAGTTGATGAGCTATTTCTTGTATAAATTGCAGTCCCTCATTTCCATTTTGCAGAGAGTGAAGCATATGCTCAAGAAAATCATGATCAGCTTCCAATGCTTCCAACCTGTCATTGAGGTCTAAGATTTCGTTTTCTAGAGCAACCAAACTAACTTGTCTTTGGCCGGGAGAATCATTTTGGCCGCCGCAATCACAATGTTTAGTTGCTTTGCTTAATGAAGAATCATCACCATCCGAAGCAGTCGCATCTTCTAGAGCAGAAGTGCTTCCATTACAGAAATGTAAATTTCCTTTCATGGATGAATCATACCCTTCAACTTGACTATTCATTGGAATATCCTCATTTTTAGGCGAATCTTCTCCCTTGAGTCTATCATCTGCAAATATTTTAGAATGGCCACCATTAGGTACGTTGGAGAAAGCCCTGTTACAAGAAATTTGGTGCAGTTTCATCTCCAAGTTCCGCAAACATTGTGAAATGTACGACTTTTCATCATCAAATCCTAAATGTGGAATTTCAGAAGCAAAAGAGTCCCTGCAATTTCTGGACACCTCATCTACCGTTGGCTTTAAAGGGTGATTTGTCTCTTCTTGGCAGGGTACATCACCAGTCTCCACTTTCGTACTCTTAATATTCAATTCAAAAGTCCCTTCACACAAATCTCCCATTATTGTTTCATCTGGTAAATTCAACTTGTAAAGTTCTAGCTCTGCTTCCATATCTTGCATTTCCTTTTCCTTTTCAGCAAGTAGATCGTTAGCCTTTTCAAGGGCATCTACATCATACTCCGCTTGCTCTTCCATCATTCTCAAGTACTGAAGGGCCTCCATATGGAGTGCTGCTTTTTCTTCTTGCAATCTTGTAATCATTGCCATCGCCTCATTCGTAGCAACTGCAGAAGCATTCCTCTCTTCTTCTAACTCTTTATACAAAGTTTTGATGCATTTTTTGTCATACTCAACTTGTCTTTTCAACCGATCAACAATACTTTCACCCTCAACGTCACTGACAATTTGTACATCCAGAGATTCAAGACTGGATTCCACCGAAGCCGACTTTCGAAGCATCTGAATTTCATTGCAGCTGGATGTCACCTGTACTTCATCTTCATGCCTGTTTTCTCCAGACGCTTGATCTAGAGTTTCTTTAGATAAAGATGATAACAGTCTCGGTTCCTCGTCAAGTCTATCAGGTTTTCTTGTGATTGGTAGTTCAGATACAAAACCAGATGATTTTCCTACCATATAATTGCCAGCTAGTCCATACAAATCATTAGCATCAATTTGTCTTGGATTTACAGCAGCAGGATAATTATCAACCTGATCAGCTTTGACTGATGTTGCAGATAGTGTACTTAGTGACTTCAGGACCTCCATGTGGTTGTCAATGTATTCTCGTCCAAGGTCACTTGTTCCAGAGACATCTGCCAAAAAACCATTTCAAATAGGAGTTACACAGGTAGAAAACTTGTTTGCACATTCATACACATCAAGTGAGGGAGAGAGAGAGCTTACACTTCACTAATGATGCTCCGACTAATGAGAGATTGTCATCTAAAGTAAGAAACTCAGACTGTCCTAAAGAATTGACATCCTGTGGGAGAGGAAATTTGAGATTGTTCTCAATGGACTCGTCACGTGAAATTCCAAGAACGTTTGATGATTCAGGAATTTCATCTAATAAAATTAGCTCAGGCAGTTTATAGAGATCAGGCTTCTGATGGACTTCCTGCCATCCAAGTTCACCCACAAAATCTGCAGTAGCACCACGAAAAGCTAATGGCTTCACATGATGATCTTTACTAACATCAGGCTGCACACAGAGATCTGAAAGCAAAGACATTGACTCATGCGGGCAATTAGTTGCTTTTGCTAAAATAAAACCACCGGATGGTGCTTTAGAAGGATTTTCTGAAGGACACTGAACTGCAAAATCATTCTTAGAGTTGCTATTTTCACGAATAGCATTTCTAATTTCCCCATCCTCATCTGAAAATGGAACTTCAGATTCAGAGTCAGAATTGATCTTCAACTCAGTGTACCCTACATAAGACAAGGGATCAAAGCCACTTTTTCCAACACAGTGAGAAATTATTGAGCCATAAGATTCATTCTTCATCTTCTTGAAGCTATTCCGACGACGTAAGCGACTATGGCTTGGCAAACGGGGCAAAGGGATATTAGGTTTAGGAACCGCACTTCCACATAATTTTGGTTGGGCAATCCTTTGTGCCTCTTTTCTTGGCCTCCAAGGCTTGCCGCAACAAGAACATGGCACCGTACCCCGAGAACCAGGAACAAAATCTCTGTTTAGCAAGAAACTTTCTAAACCAGAACCATCAATAGCCATTCCCAACTTACCCCCCAAAGTCCTTTGCATTTCTGAATATGATAAATTCTTCCTGGTGAATGAAAAGATGCAATCATCACACATTCCATGGCCATCAGCAAGCTTACCGTGAACATGACAACAAATCAAAGAAGATATCTCTGATATGTGGTCGCTACAAAGCAAATCGCGATAAATGCCAGGCTTTTTGCTGCCTATGACATGATCAATCCTAGAGCACAAAATGCAAGGAGTCTGCAATTTGCAATAATGTGCAAACTTTGTCAGCAGATATGATAGCACACCATCAATAAGCAGCAGAAATATCAAAATCCATTCACATGCTGCAGATGATAGAGCGGCCATAAACCCCGGTAAGTTGCTGTTTTCTTCCACCATTGATTCATCTGCTGCCATCTCCTCCAAAATTGATCTAGAAGCTCATATGGTTCCAAATGGTAAACATCAAAGAAATGTTTGATAACCAAACGGTCCAAACCGGTTGACCATTCCAGTCCTCTTAACTCAAGATGAAGCATTCCATCTTCAACAAGAAATACAGGGAAGAAATTCCTTTGAGACCAAACCAATTAAGGAAAACTTATTTCTCACTATTGAGAAATGTTCAAAAAGATAAATAAATAAATAAAAACCCCACTTTTTTTTTCAATTCTACTGGGAAATAAGTTTTTACCCAAAAAACAAAAAAAAATCAATAATCATGAACTGGACATGATAGTATCATTTGAGTAGAACATTATAATTTTTGAAAGAAAGACGATAATTTGGGAAAATCTCGGAAAGAATTAACATTTGAAGGCGACCTAATCCAATTGGGCCTAATCATTATTGAACCAACAAAAAGAAAACAACCCTGAACAAAAACCACACCATAAATTCTTAACACCCAACCGTACGACGTAATGCGCAATCAACTAATATTAAAAAGTTTTAAATAAAACCAACTAATAATCACCTAACCTCTTAATGCGAGAAACCGAATTCGATAATTGCACATTCAGATTAATTCGTACGCAAAGCAAGGAAGCAAAGAATTTCTCGGAAATTACAACTGGAAAAATGCAAAACACATAATTCCAATGAATTTTTCGCAATGTGTATCCCAATTTAAATCAAGCTTTATCAGAATAAACTGTGATTTGCTTTTGAGTGAATAATGCAATTTTAACACTAATTTCATGAAAATAAAGAACAATTTGCACATACCTGATTCGGAGCTTGATGGAGGATCAGAAAGAGGAAGATGAAAAGAATTGCGATTGATAAATAAGAAAATGTATATATCTGAGAGATTATTTTATTAATTTCCTGTCAGGAAAGAAAAAAAGTCGAAAGGGTCAAAAAAAAAAAAACAGAGAGAGGTGCAGAATTACCAAATGGTGTTCGTAGGTGAAAATGACCGACCGTTGAAACCAACTGTCTGTGATTTGTTTTGTTGTTGCTAATTAAAGTAAAAGCTTGTAATATATATTATTTTTAAAGCTTTCCAAAATTACATAAAATGACTATATATTGTGTATTTTTTAATTTTTCAGATTAGGAAATAAAATAATAGCGCATTACATGCCAACGGTTAACAAACACCTAATAAAATAATTAACCAAAAAAAAAAAAAAACCACCTAATAACGTAAATATAGGTGAGTGATGAATGAATGACCCTTTTTAAGTTACACTCCCATTATATGTTGACAAAATGCTCCCTTGGTTTGACATCCTGACTACCAAATTCACTGGCTAAAACAATTTATTTTACTTTTTCTTAAATAAGAAAAACAATCTAATGAAGTGATGCAGATGCTAGATTTCAAAATTGAAATTTTAATTTATTTAGTTGTTATCTTATTTTTAACTGCTTACCTTATTTAGTTATTTTCAAATTTTATATTTAAAATATTTAGAATTAGTTTCAGTTTCCTTTTCGTTTTCGAATTGTAATCTTCTATAAATAGGAGAGCCTAGCTTTATTATTCATAGTTCTTTCAGAAATTAATAAAAATTATATGCTTTGAGAGTTCTCTCAACATGTTGATTCCAATCTTCTTGGTATTCTGTTGAATCAACGAGTGATTGATGCCTATTTTCCTGGTATTCGTGAGCGAATCAACAGGTCTATAGAAGTCTTATTTTTCAGTATTCCGATTGAATCAACGAGTTTTTCGATATTCTACGCGAATCAATGAATAATATGAATTTATCCATTTTTCTATTTTTCTCATTTACTTCCGCTACGTCATGAAGTTGTCGCACTTTGATTTTTGTTAATAGGATTTTCCTTTTAAGTTTAAAAAAAAAGTCTCTTTCTCTTTAGTTTTTGCAAGTTACTTGCACAAATAAGATCATTCTTATCATAAGACGGGATAAGTATCAAGTATTATTTATTTTTTAAAGAAAAAAAATGAAGAAAGTTTTATGAGAAGGCCTATGATAATGTGAAGAATTTACTTTTAAGAATACATGAGTCTAAATTTTTACTCTTAATAAATATTTTTTTATTAATATAATTATTTAATTAAAAAATATTGTGAATCAATAATAAATTATTAAAATCTCGACTCGTGCATTTTTAAAAGGTATTTTGTCAAGAGTGTTATTATTGATACTTTTTCTAAAAGTAGTACGAATAGATAAAACTCGTCAAACATGCAAGTAGTCTCGTGACTCTAATCTCTCATTTGTAATTCTCAGCGTGACAACGAATCTTGGTCTCAATTGATTTATTATTGTGTTGTTGTCAAATGTCAACTATTTTGCGACCTTCTTATGGCACAAAATTTTGTTGGAGATGGCCCAAAGATGAGTGACTGAATAGTATTTTCAAAAAGCAATCCCACTATCGACAGAATAGCCTTATTCACCCGACCAGGATTGAATCAGGCTACTCTTACTTGTGGGGCCCGCTAATTCGGTTCCCTCTGGTCTCTAGTGTAAATTACAAGAATTTCACGATCTTTTATGTCGGTAACAGCGTGCGTTTAAAATAAGTTTTAAAATAATTTTATTTTTTTTATAAAAATAGAAATAAAAATATTTTAATTTTAATTTTATAATTATTTCTTAAATACATTTGGTAGTTTTATGCAGAAATTAATTTTAATTTTAATTAATGGTTTAATTTTTAAAAACATGTAATAATATTTAAATTAATAATATATTGAATAAATAATAATATATTAAATAATAATTATTATTAAATATATTAAATGAACGTGAATTTTTACATGTAGAGGA